TCTCAAGCGCGCAGACGGTAAGGACGTAGGATCTAGCGTAGTGGTTAAGCCTGTATAATATATTGACCAGCTTTCCTCTACCTAGTGACTTGTCCTCAAGTGTTTACTACTGATCGGAAGGCATTGGTTGCTTGGCCTGAAGATCTCATCGGATCTCGATCCAACAAGTTCCCCGCTATAGGAAACGGCAAGCATACACAAGGAAGGAGCAAGATCTCCGACATTGGACACCCAGAAGACCTGGATCGACAACCAGGCAGCTTGATCGCGGCTGGATGACTCGCCTGCGATCGAGATCAACAGATTTGAGGTAGAGTGAAGAAGTTCCACGCTATCCCAAACCCCTGCGTATCCTTCTTGGGCCATTGACGTCATACGAGTCACACAGGAAAGCGTAACCCGCCCGCCGTCGGGTACACAAGGTGAACAAGAACACAACCAGATCACGGATCATCGGAGGGCCCCCTTCGTTAGTCGATGTCCGGGCGCCAGTGGTTTTGGGAACCATGCCAACAAGATTTTCACGGATTCCGCTTCGCCACACAATTAACTTTGTGGTTGGACAGTTGGTAAACCTCCGAATCGCTCCATCACAACTGCACCCCCTCCGACGCGAGCCGCCCACACCGATGATCGTCCTTCGGCTTCCCATGTTGCCGACATCTAAAGCCTTGGCCACCGCCTCTGCAGCCGCGGCCCGAGCCATCCAGGATGATGATCTGGTACACCCTCGACTTTTCGTTCGCCCCGTATTCTTTCTGTTCTTGTTCTAACGACATCCCTTCGTCTGCTCAGCTCCACCCTCCACCGACATATCACAGTCCTGCGCCATCCGAGGCCTCGGCCGAGGGTCTTCGGTCGCCAACTCCCGCTCCTACGTTAGAAGGCGGGGTGTCCAAAGGCTCTCAGTCGCAGGAAGGTCCGGCGACACCTCCTAGGTCACCAGTGACCCCGCCGTCAAGTGGTTCCGCCTCTCCGACATCAACTCCCGCGCCGGCGGTGGATTCGGCAACTCGCGGGGTGTCGGGTGGGCGTCGAGACGCTTCGGTTGGCTCGGCGGCTTCCAAAGAAGCTTCGCCTGCCGTTCTCGCGGAGCAATCTCATGCGAGCTAGCGAAGCCCGTTGTTGGAGTTATGCGTCAGTCTCCTCGCGTCCATTCTCGTTTGGACCAACGTCTGGATGAGGGATCGTCCGTCTCAGAAGTCTTGGCGGCAACTATTGCGCCGTATCGACTCCCTCCTCACGAGTCTGAGGAGTTGATCGACCTAAGGGACGAGGTGGATCGACTTCAGACGCGATGTTATGAGGCCGAACGTAGAACTAACCAGAGTCCTCGCTCGGAGAACGAAGACTTCGACGACCGCATCAGCGACCTAAATGCTACTGTCGTCAGACAAGCGTATGTTCTGCAGCAGCTGAAGGACTGTTATGAGACGCCCGAAGCTGACTGCGCTGCGCCATGCGATAGGGAGAGCAAGAGCGCGAGCGAGCAAAGACTGGTCTCGTGGTGTATACCACGGAGCGGACGGAACTTCGGCAGTACTTGGAGGAGGACGATCGTGGTTCGGTCAGTTCTCCTTCGCCGAGGGTGAAGGCCTTGCTGGCAGCAATGCGAGTTTGCGTCGCGCTAATTCGATTTTTCGGCGCATCTCAGCTGAGCATGGTTTGAACACCAACGCTCTCGTGCTTTCCACTGCCGGTATTTCAGCTCGCGACATCAACTGGGAGTGGCTCGGTCGCGGTGCGGATCACGCTGGTTTTGTTCGGCATTTGCCCCCGGCTGCTGACAGTGAGGCCTCCGACGGCGATCATCGTTCGACAGAGTCGTCCACCGGGGTTCGGCGGATCGGCATAAGACTGCGACTGCCTCCGCCGGGAAGCCTGTCACTGGATCAGTCGTTTCTGTACCCAGCTCTCTGCGATCTCGAGGCCCGTCCGAACCTTCGGTCGAAGCTCGAAGTGGATTGTTCGACGACGCTTCTGGAGAGCCTTGACGTTTACGTCGGCGTCTCCGTCAGTTTTCTCATGCGCCCACTCACCGCGTTCAAAACACCCTCCTCCTCGAAGACTCGGTCATCCGTCCAAGAAGCCAGGTGGTGGACCTAGCTCTACTCGTGTTCCGTCTCAACCGAGTTCGACTCGCACAGGATTTGTTCCTGCTCCTATCACGCCAAGTGTCTCCGCTCCTTCAACAGTTCCTGTCAATTTTCTACCTGCATCTAATCCGACCGAGGACCTGGTCGACGAAATTGATGACGACATTGGTGGCGATTCTGACAGCGAGACCTCTGATGTGGAATCGAAGTCCAAGGCAGAGCCTCGTCATCCTTCTGAGATTACTGGTACTGAGTCCACGGTGCCTCAGCCCGAGTCTGAAGTCGTTGACTTGACGTCGGATGAGGTCGCCACCGGGGCTCAGGGAAATGGCTCGACTCCATTTTCTTCGCCCAGTTTGTCTCTTCCTCACAAGAACGGGCGGCCTCGGAGGGGCGTCTCGTTCACTTCTGATTTGAGGGTGAAGCAGAACCTCGAGAGTGATCCGACCGACGATGATTTCATCTTGAGCACTGGAAATCCACCAGTGGGTCACGATCGCACTCCACCGAAACGGAGAACGACCAAGAATAGCTCATCGAAGGTTCGTTCAGCTGCTGCGGGGCGGTCTACTCCTCCGTCTCACTTGCAGACATGATCTGTTCCCGTCGCTAGCGGTCCGGCTACCGCTCCACCCTTAGCTGTTACGTCCACGCCCCAAACACCGTCTGTGTCGACATCTCGACCAGCGGTTCCGATCTCCCAGCTCCTAAACGATGTCGATGCAGACTTGGGTGGCCTTCACGTTTCGGTTGAGACGGAGCAAGACGCGGATCATACCGAAGTTTCGTTGGCCTCTGCCGCACCTCCTGGCGATGCAAATGAATTTGTTGGGCGCACCGAATTCTCGGTGACCCCTGCGGTTCCTTCTGGCAACGCAGAGCAGACTGCATCGGCCTCTTCCACAGAGTCAGAGCTACAGGAAGCTTCTAGTGATGGCTTCACGAGAGTTCGGTTGTTGAAGACCGACCTGCGTGTGGTGCGGGTCAGGGTGCTCCTGTCGGCCCTGGCCACTCGGCGCCAGTGACTGTCATTTCTACTGCGGTGGATGCGAATCTGACCCAGGCCTAGCGGCCGGTTCGTCGATCTTCCTGGGTTTACACTTTGCCCGTAGCCCGTGTGCAACCGTCTCACAGTCGTCGAGTACAGCAGGGGGCTGGGTCTCGACGCCCTACGCGAGTCATGACGGCTACAATAAGCTGTAAACGCGGGACCGACTCCAATGCATTCAAGCCATCCATGACCAATGTTCTGTTGGCTTTGAATTCGAGGAAATTGTCCATGAAGGCTGAACATTTCCTGGAGCCCGGGTTCATTGCTTCTGGAGCGCAGGAATCATGGTGCAAGATCCAGAATTCAAGTCCCTCTGAGCCTGCTCCGAAGACGTATGCATGCCGCTGGATTTCGCGGTTTTAGCGCTCCTCTACAATGTGGAAAATGTGAACCACCCATGGATTGCCGTCCACAAGCGTATGCCCACGGAGCCACAGATTTTGGGTCTCGGAAACTTCCTTCCGGACACCAAGAATTCTATCCGTGCCGTGGGACTTGAAAGACTCGTTCTAATGTGAGCGTCAACTTAGTGGGCATTGCGGTGAGGAGAACGTGAAGGCTGGCATTAGCCTGGCTCTGTGGGAACGGTGTCACTGGCTACAGATGTCTTCAACGGAGAATGCTATGCTTGCATTCCGCAAAATCTGTGACCCCCAGGACCCGTCCCTCTTCTTCGTCCTCGAATTTGGTCCGAGCTCAACCGAACACGAAACCTCCGGGCCGGTTTGCTTTGTTTTTAAATTGTAAGACTCTGGGACATGTGCACTGACGACGAGGGCCATCCCGAGCACTCAACAGAGTTTTTGTTGGAGCCAAGTCACCTACAATATTCTATCGAGGTCTTGGATTAGGCGCCACAGACACTTGATTGGTCTCATGAGCTGCGCGCTCAATATCATTTCCACGGGTTCGTTTCATCCACATCCAAATAATTCGCTCGGTAAGTCCCTTTCCAATCACACAAGTATGTAAAACATGTAGATTCGGTACAGTAGTTTCTTTTCGTCTGTCACTGTGGGCTGTACCGGCCGCACAAACAGTTCATTTCCATTTTTGTGTCTAATCTTCGTCCGCGACTTGAACCATTTGCAACCTTCGGTCCCGACATTTTTTCGCAGAGGTAGTCGTACAGCAAGCCACCGCACGACAAATTAGACGCGGATCCCCAGGCCGGTTCCTCGTAGCCCATCCACTTTTCCTTGAATTCTCTGACAGCTCGCTCTGTACTTGTAGACAGCGGAACTCGGTCATCCAGAATTGCTTCCATTTCATATTCGTTAGTAACGTGGTCTGGCTCCCTGCTAACCTCTGGTAGCAATTCCTCATCGAAATCTAGCCGTGAGGATTTGGTCACTACCGCTGTCAACCGAGTATTCGGTAGGTCGTTGAACTCGTCTACCGCCTTGAGTCGTGACACATGCACCACCTGAAAAAAACCTGTAACCGCTTTGATCCGGCAGGTCGAGTTCGTAAGCAAACTCTTGGACCTTTTCTTTAATGCGAAAGGGTCCCTTGTCATCAGTGCGCTATTTTCTTCGTCAATCCGGGTTTCACACTCTCCATGTACAGCCAAACGCGGTCTCCGGCCTTAAACAGTGATTTACTTCGCCCTCAGAGGTTTCGTTCGAATCTTCGGTCGCTGCCCCGATCTCCGCTGACTAATCACCTTGTGTAACGGTCTGATCTGTTCCGGGAATCACAGCCTCCTCAATCCTACTCAACGATTCGTTGTGCTTTTGAGCTCTCCGAGCTTTCTCGACCGCCTGGTACCCTTTGGCCATCTTCAATGCAATTTCTTGTTGACGGTTCACCTCCCGGTGCCAGGCCAGGGCGTCTGACTGTCGTTCGAAGCTTCATTGAAGTGACGAGGACATTGCCTTGAGAGTAGACTGTGCATCCCACCCATGAACGAGATAAAAGGGTGTCTCCCTTCTCGTCGCATCTATCGAATTGTTAATCGCAAAGATCAACTTCTCTGTGGTGTCGTCCCAGTCCTGCGGCAAACGATCTTCGTCGTATACACGCACAGACGGCATAACAGTTTTGACGGACCGTTCTTGCTGGTCATTCGCCTGGGGTCGGTATCTTAATGTTGCTCTAGCCGACGACTGCATCATTTCGGTGAAAACTTCACTCGTGAGGCGTGGGTCGCGATCATGTCTAATCAGCGACAGCGCTCCGAATCTTCGGTAGACGCACTCTTCAAACACCTGCGCCACCCGTAAGGCGGTGGCGTTTGCCATGGCGTTACCCATTACGGGTCCGGTGAATGCACACTGAAATAACAATAGAGCAAGGCTCCCTCGCCGAGACTTCGGTAAGGGTATGGCGAAATCCATCGATTTGAAATAGTCGCCCTGCCAGAACGTTGCCAGGTAAGTACCCGCGAAGCTTCGGTCGGCTATTACTCGAGCTACAGTCGGGACAAGAGCGTACATGGTTTGCGGTATCTGCGTATAGACCGATCCAGTAGTAATCTAATTTCACCCGGTAGAAGGTTCGTGCGATACCTTGATGACCTCCTTCCAGCGAGTCGTGGCAGATTTGTAGTACCTCTTGAATCATCGTAGTGCGTACCACTAAACGCAGTGTTGGTTCCTCTTATAAATGGTCACTCCTCAGAAGTCTCACTCCTAGGTGGTGAAGCACGTTGCCCTCACTCAGAACAGAACGATCGGCGATGTTCCAAGCGTCTGTCGCTGCCTGGTATGTCAGCGTCGACTCATCACACAGGAGAACCGTCTTCAGATTCGCGCATCGCAACTCTTCATCCTGAGCGACCGCGATCCTTCTTCATCGTTCTTTTTGAATCTCTAAAGGGTCAACGTTAACGGCGTTGGACGACGCGGGCGTGGATCCCGTTACCCTTCGTTCTTCCGATCCTCGCCACTTGGGGGTTTTGTTGGTGTATCGTTGTATTCATCTCGCGCCGCGATATTGTCTACACCTTGGGCCGAAGTTTCATCGGCAAATCTGACGTGTTTGCAGGCTGACTTCGCCTGCTGTCTGGTCGATACCGTTAGGTCTCCGAATTCTCCGCTGCCCTCTCGCACAAAATCGACAAAATTCTTGTGACGGTGTACGGTCATTCTTGCCGAGTTCCCCGTCAGGGGCCTCGGCGGTTTCACGTGTCGTGAATGTCTCACTTGAACGTGAGCGAGTACACACCGACAGAAGGTTCGCACTCCGAAGCTTCGTTGGGGGGCTCATAGATGACCTACCGTACCTCACAGAAAGAATGCGTAACAGATAGATTGCCATCTGAAGAAAAAGCGTGTTTAGTTTCATATAAAAGCAATTTCTTAACACAAAAA